TCAGGTGATCTGGCATACTGAGGAACTTTTCAGCTTGTATTTGCAACTTTGTATCTCTGCGTTCTCTCAGTGCCTGTGTTTTCCTAGCTTTCTCCGTTTCTAATATGGGAGTTGATTTCATCCCTCCTGTGATGACTCTGAGCGCTTGATTTTGCACTTTGTCTAACTCCTTTAATGTGGTATTAGATGCTGAATACCATGCAGTTGACCCATATTCCAAGTGTGGAAGTATGCTCTGCTTGTATACTTTATTAAGTATTTTCCCATCGGCTCCCCATGTGGTTCCACTTAGTTTTCTTAGTATTGCTGTCTTCCTCCTGGCTTTGGTTGCTGCCTTGTTGATATGTTTTCTCCATGTCAACCTATCATCAAATTTGACTCCTAGATATGTGGGCTCTTTATCATCTCTCAGGGGTATTCCGTTTATTTTGATGGTGCCGGCTTTTTGCTTTGGGGAGAGGGTGAAAAGTGTGGTGCTACATTTGTCTGTGTTGATGCTGACACACCATCTATTGGCCCATGCCTCAAGTGCATTTGTAGCCCGCTGTAGTGTTTTTGTGGCTATTGTTGCATGTTCAATGGTGCCCCACAGTACCAGGTTGTCAGCATACATTGCCATTTGATTCCATTTGGTATCTCAGCAATCAGATCGTTGATGAATAAAAGGAAAAGTGTGTGCAACAGGACACCACCTTGAGGGACGCCTTGTCGCAGTAGAACTTTTTTACTTTTACAACCATCTACCTGTACCCGGGCTCTTCTGTTATGTAGATATGCTTTAATCCAATTGTACATTTTTCCATTTATTTTATAGTTTCTCAATTTCTTCAAAAGCCCCTCCTTCCAAACCTTATCAAAAGCTTTCCTTAAATCTATCCATGCTGCGAGTACCAGTTTCTTATCTCGAAAAGCATCCTCTATTTCTTGGGAGAGGTATATTGTCTGGTCTTCCGTAGAGTAGAACTTTCTAAAGCCCGCCTGCTGTGGTGTAATGATGTTTTCACTTTCAATGTACCACTGTAGTCTGAGGTTGGTGATGCGCTCCATTGTTTTACAGAGACAACTTGTGAGGCTGATCGGTCTGTAGTTGGAGGCATTAGAATTGTCTTTCCCAGGCTTTATGAGGGGTATCATAATTGCCTCTCTCCAGATCTGTGGAACATTCCCTGTAGCCCAGCAAGCATTAAATATCTGTAAAAGCTTTGTTTTGGCTACTTTTCCTAAGTTTCTGATCATTTCGTTTGATATACCATCTGCTCCTGGTGACTTCCCCATTTTCAGCTTTGAAATGGCCAACTTCAGTTCATTAAGTGTAATTGGCACCTCTAGCGCCTCTGATGTTATTTCTTTCTGACTTCTAAAATTGTCTTTTCTTGAATTTCGTGTTTTTTCTCTGAACTGATTTCAGTGTCGTTATCTAAAGCAAAAGTGTCTGCAAATAGGTTGGCTGCCTCTTTTCCTGTGACCATGTTTCCATCTTTCTGCAGCGTGATCTTTGAGTTCCACCCTGTGTCCTCATCATTAATTTGTTTCACAAGCTTCCATAACTTTCTTGTATCTTTTTCAAAGTTCAGCGACCTTGTTTTCTCCTGCCAGCTTTCCCTTATAACTTGCAGCTTTGCCCTTACAAATTTTGCTTTTGCATGCTGGTAGTTATTGTGATGTTCTTGGTTTGGCCTGGTCTCTGCTTTCTTTCTGGATGTTTCTACTTCGTTATGTAAATTTTCTAGCTCATTACTCCAGTATGGCTTATAATGCTTACGGGCACCTCTTGGTATTGATTCTCCTGCTGCCTTTAGTACGCATTTGTTAAATTCTTTAATTTATTTATATCCTGGTCTACGCTGAGACTTCCAAGCAGTATACTGGTACGGTGCTTGAACATTGTCCAGTCAGCCTTCTTGTAGTTCCACCTTGACAGCCTACTAGTTTCTGTGACCTTCTCATTTTCTACATTCAGGAAGACCGGTCGATGGTCACTGCCTTCCAGTTGATTTCCAACAACTCGTTTAATGTTGCATTCCAGATCTGGAGAGTGAAATGCTAGGTCTGGGGTAGTAGTGGTGTGCCACGACCTCGAGTAGAATGTGGGTGGATCATTTGGCCTATTAATCAGAACAAGTCTGTTCTCATCCTGCCACTCCTCCAGTTTCTCTCCTCTCTGGTCTATATGGTCGTATCCCCAGTTTTGTGAGTGGCTGTTAAAGTATCCACATAGAATCATCTTTTCTTCCACTGGGATTGTGTCTAATGCCTGGGGACGATCACTTGGGCAGTAATAATTGATCAGGTAGAAGTCTGCATTTCCAATTTGTAGTTTCAGAATCTGATATTCTGCTCCATCCATATATACTTCAGTCTGGCACGCAGTGATATTGTTTCTCACAAGAGTCAGTATTCCACCCTTTTTCCTGCCTTTCCGGTCTGATCGGAAGCACTGATAACCTCTGATTTTGAAGACTGTGTCTTCAGTGAGGTGGGTTTCCTATAGACAGCATATATGAATCTGTTCCTCATTTAGAATATTTTCTAACTCTAGCTTTTTATTTGTAATCCCCTCTGCATTCCAGTGCATTAATTTGACTCCTTTCTTAGTTCGGCCAGATGCTCTATTCTCACGTTCCCTGGCTCCACAGGACATTTGAGAAGAACCTCCAGTAATTTGGGTTGGGCCTCTTCGAGGCACTGCTCCTGCCAGAGAGTCCATCACAGGGCGGGCACCATAACGTTTTGCTGATATAGACATATTTCCATGGCGTGTATGCGTGGCATCCTGATTGCTGTGGTGCGCCTCTTGGCTGGTTGCCTCCGACTTCAGCACCTTGTTTTGCTAGGGTAGACTGTGATCATACTCGAGGAGAGTAGGCTCATCCATTCGTCTTTCGCCTTTACCTCGTTTGTTGTCCCATCCAGTTTCCCGCTGGGGGTTGAGACCCCAACCTTCAACTGGATTGCTGGGAAGAACAGGGTCCACCACGTGAAGGTGAGGTAGGCTTGTGCAAGAGAGGCTAATAGACATTAAGAGTCTTGTATTGCGCATCATTGCTCCATTAGGACCCCAGATTGGTTATAATGTTGCTGTCTTCAAGAAGGAAGAAAGAAAGACAGACAAGAAGAAGAAGAGATGCTATAGTTTCTTAATCATTACCTGATAAACTGATTCTCGTGCGGTCTGCTGTCTCAGACCGGTACTATATTAACTCTTTGTATTCAACTTATTAGTTTAACCGCTTCTGCCTCAAAATGCCCGTGTTGACCTCCCTCAGACCTAAGTATTTATTGCTTTTAAGCATAGCAGTTTGTAATGGAAGAAATTAATTTCATAACTTTTTGAGTCTGAAAGGGTTAAAGAAGATAATTGTTTTGATTCAATATTACTGGAAGAATATGAATGATATTTTGACACAGTGTTAGCAGCAGAAAATGATCAGAAGTTGTAAGACCTGGTGAAGCCAATAAATAGGCGGAGTGCATAATATGGTTTAGACATTAATATTTTTGTTTAAAAAAAAAACATAATTAACAAAGCAAAGGAGCACCCAACACAGTTATCAGAGAGACACATTAGAAGAAGTTTCTCCTATCCTGGACGTGTAATAGCAGATTACAGCAGGTGAAACAGAAGTCAATGGACATTAGAAAAGGCTAAAATGCACTTCTGCAAGATGCAAACATTTGTGACATCTAGAGAAATACGCGTTTGATAATTACCAAATGTTTAATTATTACCAAATGTTAGTTTGCTAATTACCAAATTTTAGTTTGCTAATTACCAAATGTTAGTTTGTTAATTACCAAATTTTATTTTGATAATTACCACATTTTAGTTTGATAATTGCCAAATTTTAGTTTGATAATTACCAAATGTTAGTTTGATAATTACCAAATTTTAGTTTGATAATTACCAAATTTTAGTTTGATAATTACCAAATGTTAGTTTGATAATTACTAAATGTAAGTTTGATAATTACAAAATTTTAGTTTGATAATTACCAAATGTTAGTTTGATAATTACCAAATTTTAGTTTGATAATTACCAAATGTAAGTTTGATAATTACCAAATGTTAGTTTGATAATTACCAAATGTTAGCTTGATAATTACCAAATGTTTGCTTGATAATTACCAAATGTTTGCTTGATAATTACCAAATGTTAGTTTGATAATTACCAAATGTTAGTTTGATCATTACCAAATGTTATGTGTCTTCAGCGGAAGTCGTTATGGTGCAGCGGCTAGACGCTTGTCTGCAGATCGTCCTGATGGAGCTGGACTCGTTAAAAAATGACCTTGACTCCCAGGTCGACACAGCCTTCGACGGGTACCAGGTACAAGCCCTGGGAAGTAAAGGCAGCTGGCGTGATGCTGACGACATCACTCACCGTGTACCAGATGGTCTATAAAATATATGTCTAGCCCTATGTGCACAATATGCTTGATGGTGTGGACAAGTGTCCTTAACTTGTACTTTTGATGAATCTTCAAACCCACCGTGAGACGAGAACTGGTAAAAAAAAAAACAGAGATGCTGAAAACATATCAAGAAGAGACAAATGAAACATTTCAGTCCCATTTGGAGACAATACTTTTAAAAATCATACTGGGGTGTGGGGGTTAGAAAGCAAGAGGTAGACAGTGATACAAGTGGGCTGACAATATCAAGAGATGCATGAACACTAGAAGTCTGAGAGAGTATGCAACCAAGACAAGGGACAGAGAGTGTTGGAGATCAATTGCAGCCAACCTTTATTGTGGAGACGACACCTGACTGACGATTGATTGATACATCCCACATTTTCTAGACTCGCTAAATAATAAATGGTATGGAGGTAACATTGTTCCAGCAGTTCAGAAATTGGGACATACATAGGCCTGCAGTGCACAACAAACGACACACAAAGCATCAGAGATATTACAGACCGCAGGTGGCCAGGTAATAAATCGTTAGAATGCGAACCATACACTTATTTAACATCACAATGGTTCGATCTTCAATGTTTAATGTACATAGCATTAAGTAATAAAAAGCACACATTGGACATGGGTTCTAGTAGTAATAGCCTTTTAAATACGCGTCATCGTTTCATTTATGTCTGTAAAACGGTAAATTTTGTTTGTAAGTAACCTGTTTATTGCCAAGAATCCGGTAATTCAGTCTTTATTATTCAGTTCGGTTTGCATGTTATATATTTAGAGGCAACTAGACGCTGTTTACAAAGCCATTCGGAGCCGCCATTCACCAGCACCCAAGAGGACACAGCAAGCATGAAAGTCGCTGTCGCTTTACTGTTTGGTTTCCTTTTCTTGGGGGTGCACGGCAATCGACGTAGGTTTTACATTCTAGACTTTTCATCTGTGATCTTGTGAATGTTTTTTGTTTGTGGCCACACTGTTACCTGGTTGTAGCCCAGTGTCATTGGTTTCTGAATTTGTCTTTTTCTGGAGTGGCTTGTTTGTTAGAGTCCTATGTTTAAAAAAAAAATTTATTTAAATTTTACGTAATTTTAAGTATTAAATAGAAAGTTTATCGTACTGTCTGGTTCTCTCGTTTCATTAAATTGCCCATGGGCAAGCCAATCTTAAGTTGCAGGTAATGTTTTAATTCTGTATCTTATATTTGGTTCCGTCTCCACAGTGAAGGTTGGATGGATGTATCTACTCTGCTTTACATGTGCGTGTGTGGGAGGGGGTGGATTTGTGTGAAAACGGTAATGAAATTGCAGATAGGGACGCAAAAACAAATGAAAAACATTAGATCCAATAAAAGCACTATCTGTATAACTTAGAGCGCAGGGTACATCAAACACTGATTAAAAATAGTTGTATATCATAGGAAAGATGAAGAGTCAATATACGCCTATTTTCAAGGTTAAATAGGATTCGTATAGTTCTGTAGTTGTGAAATCAGATGAATCGGTTAGTTTTTCCCTCGTATGTAACTCTTTATTCGATGATTTGTATGTTGTGTTTTCTGGTTAATGTTTTTTTTTTTTTTTCGTGATGTTTTGATGTTTTCTGTATTAGGTAAATGGTTTTCTTTGAGCTCCCGTATTCCTTACAATTTTCCACGCGCAGTCCTTATGTACGCTTCTAAAGAACATTTATTCGAAATCATCTTATATAATTAATTTGCTCTGTTTCCCCTGCTTTCGCTAACACATATTTAAATAACCCCTTTTTATGTCACACAGAATTAACATACCTAATTTCCCTACTAAGCATGCCTTTTTTAACAAATACTTTACTAACTCTATTGTGCCTTTGTTTAACCAGAAACATTTCAGTCTAGAATTAATTTTTCAACTTCGATTTCAACCCCATTCTGAGCCAGCTTTTTTTAACAAATACATATATTTCAATCTCGTGTGCATAAAATATGCAATTAGAAATATTACCGGCAGTTATTTAACATCTTTTTACCCATTATGTAACAACTATTTGTAATCATACAATTTTATTTTAGCCCCTTCTCAATACCTATTTAACCGTATTCCTCATTTTCAGCTTCTTCTTTGACAACTATTTAACCACAAACATCTGTTTCATCCCCTTCTATGACAACTATTTAACCATAACATAGATTTCAGTCGCGTTCTGTAGCAACTATTTAACCATATGCCTCTTTTTTCAGTTGTTTTTTTTCTATAACACCGTTTTAACCAGATACCTCTGTTTCAGCCGCCTTTTGTAACAAGCGGTTTAACCCTGGCCCATGTTATAACTACAGAAAGTACTTTTACTTCAACAAAGCACACCTGATGTGTCAAGCCTTTTTGTATGGAGGGTGTCAAGGGAACCAAAACAGGTTTAAAACATTAACCGAATGCAAGAAAGTCTGCGAACATAAGTCGCCCTCAGATGGGCCAGCAGTTGTGGTTCCGTTGCCATATCCGCACATGTTTAAAATAAACTTATATTAATCATTTACATGTTTGGATTTATTTTAAATAAAAGCATAACAATTTGATTTTAAACATGTTTTTAGCTGTATGGATATTATTAACATAACATTTAACGAATGCCAAGATGTAAGGAATATTGAAATTTGTTCCGTCATTTATTTAGAGCTCAAAATCAGGTGTCACTATGTAAACTTTTACTGTTTAAAATTTCCCAGCAGCTGCGGTGCTAGAATGAGAAAAATACCAAAAGCATTCATCTATTAGATTAGTCAGCTCAAAATATAACCATGTTTCATAGTAATTCACCTGTGCATGCTGTACAGTTTCACAACCTAGGCCCTTCTCGTTTTCTCTTGTTTAACAGTGTTTTCAATCGACACTCCAATAAACATACCTAGCTACTAATGTAAGGGGGTATGAGGGGTTGAAGAGTGCGGGGGGAAACTTTCCATCTAAGATATTTCCGTTCCCATTAGTGGTATATTAAACTAGTGGATGTTGACAAATATGTGACACTAATACGATTGCATTACCTGGGTGTAAATCACTACGAAGCATGTCTATGTCGTCTAGATCCGCTGCATATTGTTAAGGCTTATGATATCACGTATCCGTGTTACAAGGCAAAGACGTATTGCAGACGTCTTGTAGAAGGATCTGCAAAACTAGCACAGATCCTTTTGCCACTGGAGTTGAGGTATTTGCCAACATAACCATACCTCGGTCATCTCAACGACTGGCCGGCTTGGACTTGCCCGGTGGCCGCCACCAGCCCTATCGTAATATGTTCATATGTTTAACAGCCATTCACATTTCATTCCTGTCAGTGGTAGACGTATCACAGTGGGTTTCCAAGGGGGCAGTAACGCTGTTAAGAGGGCTCTGAACCACACCATTACCTATGTGATAGGTAATGTCATAGGAGAATCCCATATGACCGAGCTGCTCTGGAAGTATCATTGAATTCTCAGTTTCTGGGGGTAGTTGTAGTAGTCTTAAAACCCAGTCTGTAACCACATTAGAAATAATAAAAATGACTAGATGTATCCTTACAGTAGGCTGTTCATTTGTTTTTAAAATGTGTATTTTCAGTTTTCCTTTATGAGCGCTGCATATAAACGGCTTTTAATGTAGGTTCTGTTAGCCTCGCCAGTTTCGTCCCCTCCCTCTCCCCACCCCAATATACTGCTTAGGGCCTTTTTTTTATAGAATAAAATGGCACCGGTACTCACCACAAAGTGTCTAAAAGGTGCCGGTACTCACCACAAAGTGTCTTTTACGGTAACACTAAAGAGAGGATGCCTAAAAAAGGCGCCAGTATTCGCACAGTTGCGTATTGCCAGAAAAAAAAGGTCCTGATACTGTGAACATCATTTTGAAGTCATTCGATTAATTAATCCGCGTCTCCTATCCCCATCACACCTACTTGATGTAAGATAATAATTATTACAAATTCCTGCTACTTCACCTGCTTTCAGTAACCGCTATATTCTACGCACTCTGTGTCACCTGCCTACAGTAGTGTATAACACATTCTCTCTACTGTACCGATCCTCTGTAAAATAAAACAAAATATTTGTCCTGTTTCAGAGGCGTAACAAACTTTTAACTAACTGCCTTTATTTCAGCGGCATTTTGTAACAAACGTGCTGTCGCCGGCCCGTGTAGTAACTACACAAGATTCTATTACTACAACACAGTAAACAGCATGTGTCAAGCCTTTATGTATAGCGGATGTGGAGGCAACGATAACAGGTTCTCGACATTGAGACAATGTAAGAGCACCTGTGAACATGAAGGTTATGCCAGGAACGAAGGAGCGTATTGGAGCGTAGACTATTAATTAAAGGTTTTTGCATAAAGTGATCATCCACGTGTATTATTTCTCATTCTCTCGGTTATTTTTTTTTTTTTTTTTCATTATTTTTGTCCTAGGAGGTCTGGGAAAGTTTGGTTACATCAATGCTGCACAAGTGGCTAAAATTCAGGCACTTGATTAAATAAATAACACGACCATCTGAACAGGCTAAATTCCACACGTAACAGATATAGCATGAAAGTAAATTCGATTAAAACTGAGGTAATGCATGTCAGTAGTCCGCTACACATTGGGTTGAACTGTACACGTAGGTTACAGAATTTAAACATTTAGAAAATCGCGATGGGTGATCCATTTGCCCGTACCCTGACTATGAAATAAACGACACAAAAAGCTGAAATTGGATACAGTATTTGTTTCTTTGCAGTATAGCCGCCTCCCACATTGAAACATTTCTACTATCTCAGCTTGACATTGATTTGACCTCAGGAATAAAATACCTTTTTTTCCCCGGGCTTAACCAGTTACGACATGCCAATGTGACTTTCTCAACTCTGGCACACTGAATTCTTTTTATTTGTGTGTGTGTGTGTGTGTGTGTGTGTGTTTTTTAATGTTTGGGAAAAGAAAAACGTATGAGGCTGTCAAATCTGGTAAAAATGGCGATGATGAAGAATTTGAATAGTAAAAATGTTGGCTCTTAGCTGCTTAGTCAGAGGAAGCGTTGTCTTCATGCAAAGTTTTTATAAGGAGTAGAAAATTATAGGGAAGAGAAAAAGTTGGTAAGAAACAACAATTAGTTTATGTTAGCTTTACAAAATCGATCACAATAAACAAACAAAGGACGTTGCGGCGATTAGCCTTCATCAGCACATAAAGGACAACACAGTACACATACACAAATAGGCTCTAACTATGAAGTGACTACATAGGACTCTAATGTATAAAATTAACGATACTCATCTAGTGTCCCTGGCGAAAAAACTTCGTTCAAATGAAACGACGGTCAGCCTATATACCTCCAACGCGCAGGTAGGGGCAAAAAAAGGGACGGGCTGGACGCCAACAGCGTACACTAAGTGTCTAAGGAGGGAGGGAGGGGTTGGCCTATAGGGCGTAACCGGGGTTGGGTTGTGGGGATGACCTTAGTCCATCCGCATGGAATAAAAGTGGTGCCTGTGCTTGCAAACAAATATCGACAGATAGATAGATAGATAGACAGACAGACAGACAGACAGACAGACAGACAGACAGACAGACAGACAGACAGACAGACAGACAGACAGACAGACAGACAGACAGACAGACAGACAGACAGACAGACAGACAGACAGACAGACAGACAGACAGACAGACAGACAGACAGACAGACAGACAGACAGACAGACAGACAGACAGACAGACAGACAGACAGACAGACAGACAGACAGATAGATAGATAGATAGATAGATAGATAGATAGACAGACAGACAGACAGACAGACAGACAGATAGATAGATAGATAGATAGATAGATAGATAGATAGATAGATAGATAGATAGATAGATAGATAGATAGATAGATAGATAGATAGATAGATAGATAGATAGATAGATAGATAGATAGATAGATAGATAGATAGATAGATAGATAGATAGATAGATAGATAGATAGATGTCTTCATGCAAAGGAAGATTTCGAGAGCTTGCAATCCCTCGTTTTCTTGCCGCAACCTTTTTCTTTGTGTAAGGAGACCTGTATAATACTGTCCATTAACTGACTGACCTCTGGGCAGCTATACTTTCAAAAGAACACATTTGACGTCTTAAACAAACTGTCAGCATCACTTTCCCTGCAGATGTCAGTACTCTTTATTTGAGGGGGGGGGGGGGGGTGTTGTGAAACCAGGCGTGTTCCAGTGGATGATGGCAGTTTAAGATGCGCTGTCATAATGGTGACCCCAAGTCTAAATTAATGTCACCATAGTCATCAACATATTTTTTGACAGTCTCTTTTTGAGTAACTGTCGACTGCACGCTAACCTAAGTTTCTTCTGTTCACATGTGGAACCCATCGGGCACACGCGATTGTCACGTTCAGTCAGTTGTGTAAAATTCCAACAGCTGTACTTTTACTCATTTTAACAGCGCTAGAAAGCTCCTCATTAGTAATTTTTTTTTTTCCTTCTACTTCTTGGAGAATGATTATCTTCACTTCTGCATTTTCACCTGTGGACTCTGAAGACGGTCTTTCACATCTTGGCTTATCAGCAACATTTATGCGACCACTCTCAAACTGCCTACACCCATTTTTTAACGAAGGAAATGAAGGATATGATTTCTGAAACACTGGTTCCTTCTCTCTATGTATTTCTGTTACTGTTGTACCCTGCAATATCAGGAATTTTATTGCCTCTCCAGCATCTGATGGCTCCATTTGTGATGCACAATTTACGCGGTAGATTCGGTTAGCAGGTTGTACCACGCTATGCTCCATACAGAACAAAGCTATAAAGAATCAGCTGCAAACTTCTCCAAGTTTGTTACAATATAATAAACTATAAGCTTGCCAAGCTTCAATTTTTTCTCCCTGTCACTCCTTTATTGCCAGGGTAAGGATTTATAGATCACCCCTCGTATATTCTCGGAAGACGGAAAAATAGATAGGAAAATAGAGGATGCCAGTTCACGTATACACCAACTTTTAAGACATCCAAAACATAAGTATGAGCTCTAGGACAGTGCACAGGCTCTGTAGCACCGACGAGGATCCTGAAATACTTTGTGTAGTTAACTTCAAATTATGCTCGGGTAGCGTCGTTAGGTTACTCTGCCAATGGATTTTTTTTTTTACGCTGGACATTATCAAAGGCTAACCTACGTAAAATTAACACCTGTGAAATGAGTTGCCTGAGAAAAACCGCCAACTTAACCATCTGAGACAAAGTTAGAAATGATATTATCAGGCAGACTGTAGGAATAGCACCACGTAGCAAATTCAGTTAGAAACAGAAGATCAAATGGTTTCCTAATCAAGTAAAAATGCAGCCAGAACAGCTACCAAAATAGGCACTCCACGTGAAAAGATCTGACGCGAAATCAAGAGTTCGCCCTAGGAGAACATGGACTGATGACAATAATGTGCTTCTACATTGACACGGAATGACAATATCCAGTGTTGGCCATCAAGGAATAGATAGCAGAATGTTCCCCCACCCCCGCGGCGTTTGACGGCAGAAGTGGAAATTGATTTTGATGATAACGATAATTGAAAACTCAAACAAAAAGGTTGAAATGGGAGTACCTGGTTAAATAAATGATGCAAAAAGGGGCAGAAATGAAGATATGTTTATTGTTTTATGTGTATTCAACGGATCAACATCATAGCACACGGGTGTAAACTATAAGTGCTTCGTTTTTCTTCTAACTCAAGTCTGTGTTTGAAGAATCTCAGCGCAGTGCACGAACTCTTTTGCACCGGTGAGGATCCTTAAATACTTTGGGTAGATTTGTAACTCCAAATTTTGCCCCTGCAGCGCCGTTAGGCTACTCTTTTCGATTTCCAGCTGCCAAGGGATATTTTAGGTGCGCAACAATACACACGGGTCTTTCTACCCAGAGACTAGGAGAAAATTACTAGAAGCCCACGTGAAAATATCCTAGCCCTCACCGGGACTTCAGTCCATGACTTTTAGCGCTCAGGGCGGACACCATACATCTAGACCACCAGCTCCAGTAATGAAGATATTTGGTTAAATAACTGATACATGAGGGCTGAAATAGATGTCATTGATTTATTTTACGGAAAGGGGTAAATTAGTGGTTGAACTGGCTGAAACGGAATTCAGTGGTACCTCTGTATTCGAACATCAGAAACGGCTTTTGAATTACACATAGTTCGAATTCTAAAGCATTTTTTTTTTCAGTGATAATAATGGAAACTAAATGAATCTGTTGTAGGGCGCAACTATCTCAAGTTTTAAAATATATTTTCCTAAATCATAACCAAAAAAAAAAAAAAAAGAAATAGATTTAAAAAACACACATTATAATTACTATACCTTAAAAAATGGCGACATAGTATGTAAGAGTAGGAGGTTGAAGGAAAATGTAGGGTGATTATTGTTTGTAGGGCGAGTTATCTCCCATGTTAACATCAGGAATCCTTTCTGGTGTTTCATACATATCGTAGTTGTTCACCACTTGTAGAGAGTTTAGGATCACTAGTTTTTGTTGACATCTAGCGTTCCTAAGTGCTCTGGTGTTAGCGACTAGTTTCTAAGATGTTAAATAAGTTAACACACATGTTAACTAGGTCATTTCCAGGGTGCCACGATTTCTTGCAATTTCCGCCACATTGGCTAAAGATCTTAGATTTCAGTAGTGCTAATCCATCCAGTTTCCCCATCTTTCTTCCTGGGGGAAATTTCTTCTGCAAATTGTTGCTGCTGCTGCTGCTGTAGGTGCTGAACTCTCGCGTTGTCACTCAGCAGCGTGACCGGCACATGCCTGGCGTTCCGTTTCCAAGGTAGCGTTCGAATTGCAAGGCAAAATCGACAGCCAATTTTGTTCGGATTCTGTTTTTCGAGTTTTGGGCTATCCTCAGAATAACGGTCCCAAATTATCGAGGCCGAAAATATACCCTAACAGGGCCTCAGTCACCTGTCAATTGCGGACTTCCGTCGACTTAAATTGCGCACTTCCGGCGACTACCGCCACCGCCGAGAGTATCTCCCACGCCTGAAGCGGGTTTAAACTAAGTGGCTAGGACTCACGAGCAGCAGCTACTGCATCTCCTGCAGCTTTCTTCCTTTTATTTTCCCGTGACTCCCAACAATCTAGTTTAGCCATGCGAAGCGGCGTGAGAGATACTCTCGGCGATGGCGGTAGTCGCCCTAAGTCCGTAATTGACATGTGACTGAGGCCCTGAGGATATATTTTCGACCTGGATAATTTGGGACCGTTATTCGGAGGATATCTGAGATTTGAAGTGTTCGAATTCCGAGGTACCACTGTCATCGGTAATAGACATG